CAACAAAATGTTATGAAGTATACAGTATATTTAACTGTCACAGTCGACAGGCAGTAATTTGTTATGCGTATATTATTTATTGTTCGGATAAGATATACAGGCAATTTAATCTAAGACGTAATACAAGTAGTAATACCACAAGATTCTTGCGCTTACGTGGTATATAGATCATTTATTTCTTACGCTAAAAACTTAGCAACGTTAAATAGCATATATTTGTAACAAACGCTGTTGTTTATACGCATGTAGGATTGATATCGTAATGTCAATAAAATACTTTTATAAGGTCGTTACCAGATGGTCTTTCTTATTCCGATCTGACATAAATTCCTATCTGACATACAACAGCATTATGACATGTGTTTTGACATTTGTAAGCTGATATCTGAAATTGTATTACGGGAAATTAACAAACACTAATTTATTCGAAGATGTAATATAGTTTTACCTACTTCACATATATCGTTTTTCGCGATGTTAGTAATCGATCCAAAAGCTGTTACACGTACCATATAGTCTTTAGATACGAGTGTTATATGGTGTTGATGTCAATGAACGTGTAGTTGAATGGTTAGCGGTGGCGGTGGTTGTTTAGACGTATTTTTACTGATTGATTTAATTTGGGTGAGCGTGGGGTTTAAAGGTACTGGGATAAATTGCCTTCTCCGCACTTTTATTTGTGAATGAACATGGCTTGTGGGGGCTGTATATTATTTGTTTTATTATTGAATATTATTGTTAAGGGAAAAGTTGAAGTGATATTGACATAACTTCATTCAGATGATATGATAGTTGTATGCTGAAATAACAATATATACAGTACATATTATAAAGTAATATTTATACACCGTGTGAATAATATGTTAGTTAATGAGAATGATTTGTGCAACAAGTAACATCTACAAATGATGCAGCAAGTTTTTAATTCACATGCTTATTAACATATACGTATTGTTATTTTGCGTGTATCTGATAATACATACAAGATGGCAAAAATACAATTTTCGCGGGGCAAAACTTTGACAAGCACAAAAATTTTCGGGAAAGTCGATATGCCACAATATAAAGAAAAAAAGAAAAACCAGTAGTGGCGGGAACCAGTAGTGGCGGGAACCAGTAGTGGCGGGAAAGTACTTATTAGTAATACGAACAAGGTTAACGTTAAAGCATGTTTAAATCATCATGTAAGTCACAAGATTTAATATGCAAAAAAGGCGGCTAATTTTTGGGGACGCCTGTTTCCGAATTAGTACAACAAGAAAAGGGTCAGAAATTTCACAATGTCACAAAGTTTTTTTTGCAACTGCGGAACAGTCATTGATGTGCTAGAGCGTAGAAAATCTTTGAGCAGTAATAAAGTAGAGAACACTGAACATTGAAGATAGTCCACACCATGCGAAAAGCATTTTGGACAGGAGATGTTTGCTCTGAATGACAAGTTTTGGCGAACACATAATTTGTTTATAATTTTTATAGTTCGTGAAAAGTTAATGTCATGTGACAAAGGAAAATGGCTCGGAACACCTTCAACTGCCATTGTCTATATTATTGTCAACGACTCTGATAATTCCGACTCAAAAAAACAGATTATTCAACGCATTTCTTAGATTCACTGCCTTCAGAGTACCAAAATATATGTCCTTGCCGAGGCTGGAACCTCGACGAATATCAAGTAGATTAATCGAAAATCATTTTTAGAATAACAGTATTCCTTATTCATGCATAGCATCTTTTTGTAATCCATTCACGGTTTGATTTCTTTGCAAGTTTAATACAATAAAGCGTAAAACGAAAAATATCACTAAACTCCTCACCAACGTATTGTTACTCCTATCACATCTCCTATTTCCTACATTTTCTTACTTGCCAATCATAAATATGAAATAAAATATGTTTTGTCTCCAAAGAATCGTGACTTTCAAAGAACAATTTCATCTTTATTTACCCACATGTGAGCTAGCTGCAAACTACTATACATAATATACTTCCAGCAGATTGACATTGCTAATAACTATGTAATTTGATAGAATATCTACTACGCCTACCACATTAATATTAATACATCATATAAAAAGTAAATATGGTTAACACACAAAATAAATTATATCAGGAACATCGTAACGATATTTAAAGCAAAACAATCAATACGTCTAGCGGAGGCAAAAATTAGAACTGGGCCGGGGCCAGAACATTTGGGTGAGATACAAGCAGAATTTCTGGTAAAAGATATAAGCACCGTACTATTCATGAACTTTAGCAGTGTCTCGTCAGTCCTGAAATAGAATTCGGATATCAGCATTATGTCGAGAGAACTTAGACGCGTTGGCAGTTAGTTGTCATAACATCACACATTTTCGTTAGCAGGCTACGGAATTATAAACGAATAAATAGCCAGTTACATGTGTTGTACTGTATACAGTATATGATAAAAAGAACAAGTTGAATTTAGTGTACTATAAGTTAACAATAATCAACAGCGGCTCGATATTTAAAAGGGTAATGATTACAATAATAACAACAGCACTATATAGTATATTAATTTTTCCCTATTCTACCTCCGAGAAAAATAATCGACTTTTGTTTTCCCATCATGGTGAGTTGATATTCCCTTATCCTGTTTGCAATTTCTACAAAATAATCTTTTAATTCTTCCGTTGAAAGTGCTGTCAAAAACTTGCATTGAAGCCCTCTACGTGCTATGCTTGCATATTGAGATGCAATATCTACCATTTCTCGGAGCGGTCGAGAATTACCTACAAAACGTCGAGGAAGACATTGAGTCATAGCAACTCCACAATAAAAATAAAAATGCTTTTTCCCGCAACTTACGTTCACGCTCCGAAAATTGAATTGTATACAGGTAGACTGGATGACTATATAGGCATAAAAAATTTTAGTGCGTGCACTTCTATTAAAGATAAAACGATCGGTACGGTCTGTTAATATGGACTTACTCATTGTCTCTATTAAATTCACATATTTCTTCAAGTTCATTATCGGGTGTGGCGGCATCTCCATCTGACAGAAAGATGATAACATTTTCCCTGAGGGCCCACATAGATTCATCAGTTTTCTCTGTTGTTAGGCATGCATGTTCGGACAACAGAAAAAAGTTACCTCGAGTCTTTTTGATATTTTTTCAGAAGCTCGCCTGCAGCTACAACCGCATTCGCAAACCGTGTTCCACCAGAAGCATGGTAGTTACAAAGAGTATTAATCAATGCATCTTTGTATACAATTTTTTGGTTCTCCATAGCTATGTGCACGTTAGTATCAAAGAGTATGAAAGACATTATATCATTTTCTGCATGGGTAACTCCACATCTGGTATAGATAAATTGCTTTATACATTCATAGACGGCACCAAGCCGATTATCATGATTTTTGATGATTTTTGATGATCCAGTTCTATCCTCTGGCCTCATGTCATTATTATCCATCGATCTGGATTTGTCGATAGCAAAAACAATATGATACGATCCATAGTGAACACAATCAAAGTGGTGTCCATCACTGGAAATATGCCCACTAGTCACCGGTGTTTTTGGATCAACTTTATCGTGAAATAATTTCAGCGTGCAATAACTCGGCCCTGAACTGCCGCGGTTCTTAATCTTGTGTATACCATGACTACATTGATGCAAACATTTTTCAAATATTTCTTGCTCATCAGCTGCATAAGGATCTGTTGCAGTATTACACATTTAGCCTGGGTATCAATTTAAACAACCAGTACGTTAATTTTAACTTTACCTATGAAACCAATGCGCCTCCAGTATGAAGAGTGGGATATATAATCCTTAGCACGATCCGGATATGGTTCCATTTCACCTACAATTTATATGTGTTGCACATAGTAAACAATAATGAATCCTAGAGGCAGTCACAAGCCCCGGATACTTACACTCTATGTGTTCTATTCCCTGCCTGCGAAGGACATCGGGTGCAGTTTTGCATGTATCGACATTTTTGCAATAATCAACATGAAGATGTCGTTTAGCAGATTTACATAACTATTAATTGCAATTAACATCAGTTTGATTTATATTAGCATAATTTATTTACCAACACTCTTACCATCTGACAATAAATGTAGCATCCAAAGTCGCCTCCTGTAAATGTCCAATTGTTGTATTGGAAAGTGGGAGAGATTCCGAGCCAAGCCATAGGATTCATGTTTCCATGTGCAGTGTGATGTAAGCCTGTATGCCCATAACTCTTGCCACACTGAAATATTTCTGTTAATATGGATCCATTCTGTTTAATGTAGAAAAAACTCAGGTTATTATACTTACATAATATTCGCAATGTGGACATCGAATATCACATGTATGATCAGCATTGCATTTGTGAGGGCCCTCGTGTGCAAGTTGGTTTGGCGGAATTTTTACATCACATTTGTATCTTATTTCCACTTGGGTACGCTGCGAAATATACTATCAGTAATTTGTGACATTTGTAACAACTCTAAAACAAAATATGCTACCTCCTCATAATCAAATGCATTGAACATGCTACTATAGGTGTTCACATTTATAGCGGTATCAACTTTGCAAATGTCAGGTTTTCCAGACATTTGATTATCATGTATCTGCCTATTAGAATCAAAATCGTTTTTAGCTTTCTAACCTTTTAAGTAATATAAGGACATCAACTGAGATCGCAACTCACCCGTAAAAATAATTCTCTACACTATGCAGAAGTGCATGAAGATGGTCATTACAACTGATCGGGCATTTGTGTTCTTTGTGCTCAATTCCAACAGAAATTGCACAAGCACCCACGCATTCATATAAACCAGGTTTTGATAAAGAACAGGGTTTTCCGCAAGAATGCTCACTCGCATCGCAAAGATGTTCGCCTTCATGATCAACTTCCTTTGAACATTTAGAAAGACATCCATCCCTATTGTTGTATTCGCATATATCCATACAAGCGTGTCGCGTTTTGCATCTATGTCGATTTCTATGACCAGCAGGATAATTGCATATTGGAAGTTCTTTATCACCGGGATGAGCCTCTTTAATCTCGCAACGAGAGTGGCATTTGTGATCAGTCTTACAATCATGTCCTTCGGATTCCTCATGTTGATTCTTCAGACAAGGTAAACTACATTGATTATTGTTACACGATTTTTTACACAGAGGCTTAAGCAAATAAAGTGATTCACGTTGCCGAATATTTGCCAGTGCTTCAACGCGTTCTCTGCAATTTACGGTGACATTGACAAACTTATTGTATTGCTCAACCCAATTAGCATCATTAGGTGCAAGTGACCGTTGACCATGGCATTTTTCGAAAAAGTCTTGCAGGCTCGTGGTGCTATCAACAGACCCTTCTCCGCTGAGTACAAGCCCACTATCTAATAGTTCATTCTTTCTGAATCCACCAAGTATTGGTATCTCTTTATTGTCTATGAAAGATCCAGCATCGTGGTCCTATATTATATATTAGTTATTATTATATATAATCGAAAATATTCGACCGTTAAACAGTAAAATTACCATAAGAGGTGGCACATCAATAGGTTCATGACCACATGCTATGACACTTGGCAGCACCTTCAATTTATTCTTGACATTTTGTATCCAATCAGCTATCTGTGGAGACAAATCATATCAGTGCTCAATATCTTTTTGATGCAAAAAATGTTCTGATACACTGTATTAGTATGTCGAGTAAATCTGACTTACTGCTAATTTAGCGGAGTCAACATTGCATATGCCAGGTTTTTCACACATTTGCTTACAATCATGTATCTGTCTGTAGGTTCAAAACCAATTTTTAGCTTTTCTAACCATTCAATTGATATTATTATAGGAATGTCAACTGGGATTGTAACTCACCCACAAAAATGATTATTCACACCATGCTGAAGTGCATGAAGATGATCATTACTTTGACAAATCCATCCACACTCATCAATGCAACAACTGATTGGGCATCCTTGAGTCTCACATTTGTGTTCTTTGTGCTCAATTCCAATGGAAATTACACAAATGCCCATGCATTCATATAAACCAGGTTTTGATAAAGAACAGGGTTCTCCACAATAATGCTCACTTGCATCACAAAGATGGTCACCTTCATGGTTAACATCTTTTGCACATCTATGAAGACATCCGATTCTATTGTTGTATTTGCATATATCCATACATGCATGCTGGATTGGGATGAGTGTACATAATCGAATAATCCAGCTGTTACATATTAATATGTAGATAAAGATCTAATTGTTAGAAGGGGACGAAATTTAGGATTACTGAAATGAACCTAACTCACTTGTCAGCTGTGTAGCTCGAAGGTTCCAAGGCATTTTTATGAAATAAAATATCGCCAAGTTTCTTAACACAAATAGAGCAATTTTGTAATGGCTCAATATCCTTCTTTGTTGCTTCATGAAGGTGTTTCAAGCTATCTTTCAAATATTTCTCATAGTGCTGCTGAAGTTTCTGTAAATCCTTTGGAATGTTCTCTGGAAATTTCTCTGGAAAATTATCCGGTAGATCCATTACTATGGTAAGTTTCATTGGTGTTGTACCATCCTCTATAGGATACTTGGTAAAAAGGTGCAAATATACATCGATGTAGCCGTTTGATCCATTGTGCTCTTCGCCTGCTTTTACCTGACCAAAATGCAATGTATCATTTTTATTGTCTCTTATTTTCTCTATATTTAGTTCCTTAGCGTCTTCACCTGTGTATTGATCACCTGTAATTGTGATCTTTACTGAAACCAATTTGGTGAGTGTTTTATTGAAAATGACTAAATACGGCTGTGTCTGTCCAAAAACCATGAGCTGACAATGTGATAACCATTGTGCAGGTAATAGAATGTCAATTTCAAGTGGCTCACACTGACCTATAAAATATACAAGTGCTTGCACTTCAGGATCTTCGGAATGTAATGGCTGCTTACCCATTAACTTTGTAGATAAATTTTTCTCATTGTTGACATCCTGGGTATCTGTCTGATGAGTTTTTGATTCCCTGAGTACAAATATATAAGAACCATCAGGTGAGCTGAGAATGGATATTGCATCTGCAGGAAATTTTGTAGATGCTTGCAACAAATTATTATCAAGATTGAGATAATGTGACTGTCCACTATCTTCAACAAAATATAGCATCCCAGTATTATTGATCCAGAAAAGATGTTTAATAGCTGGTAGATGCCCAAAGTATTCAATATATACTACTGCCTTCTCTTTGTCAATATCATACAAATTAAGCTAAAAATAATAATAAGATTATAATTAAGCCAAGTTAAGACACTGTACAACCAACTCAAAATTTCTGTCACTTACCATACATTCACTATTGTCATAAATTGCTATCAGACTTTTTGAATCATTTACTGCAAACAATGAATTCTTTGACAGATTTAATAATCCTATTGGACATGGAATACTATCTCTTTTAAATGTCCTCTCCAAGGAAGTTGGCATCCCATAGAAGATAGCATAATTGCAGTAATATTTATCCCATAAAATAATAACCAAATTTCCATTATGGAATTGGTAGATGTGCCTAAAAATTATTCATTTCATATCAGATAATAATAATAGAACATGTGCAAAACTTTGCAGCCACATAAAAGTTATAATTATAATTAAATCTACCTGATTTCAAACTTCTCCTTGTTAATATACAAAACCTTTTGCTGCTTGTAAGTGATACCATCTTCGAGCTTGTCATACTTATTCAGTTCAAACTCCCATATCTTTAACTCATACAAGTAAGATTTGTTTATTTCAGTCACATAGTGTAGCTCATAGCAATCAAATGTGTTGTGAGTTGGTTGTGATTGGTTATGATATAACTGTTGCATTGTAGTTATCTTTTGCAACTCAGTGATGATAATTTGTGATCTAAATAAACAGTATTAAGTATGTCAATTACTTTTCTTAGAATAATGGATCACTAAATTAATCATACTTTACCCAGTGGTAGTTGAGTATAATGATTCAAGTTTAGCCTTCAATATCTTTGATTGTTCTTCACAAATATGTTCTTTCTTTCTTGTGTATTCATTGAAATTTTTGCAATTAGTCTTTAGATTTATGTCTTTTTCCAACAATTTTCCTAGCCTTTTACCAAACTTAATTTTTCAATTCTGAAACTCTTGAGAAAACATTGCAATAATGCCTTTCATTACTGTCTTGGGAGTTGTCAGATTCTGTAGATTACATAGACACTTAATAAACTCTGAATCTGATATCTGTTCTACCATTTTGGTTGCTTGCTCAAGAGTGTTCTTGGTCTCTTGATCACATTCTTCTTCTGGATCCACTTGATCCATAAAACATTCTGCCACTTTCTGCATAAGGCTATTGCAATCATAATCAGGAATAAAACAAACAAGCAAAATTGGGATGAATGCCAGGGCTTTCTTGAACAACTTAAACTGTCTATACATTAAATTATTGTTCCAAACCTGTTGATATCATCAATTCTTTTACTTGGCAAGCTGTTTCCTTGAGTATTTAGAACATCTAAAAATGCATCAAATCCATTTCCTGCTAGTCCACTCAAATAGTAGAATTTTTTCTTCAAAAGTTTCCAGTTGCTGTTGTCAATTGCAAGAGCCATACTCTCGATTTTGTTACAAAGCTCTTTATGTCTTGTATAGAATGTGTTAAGCTCTGTTATGTAAAAGAAAAAAAAAACTGAGTAAAATGTATTCAAAATAATTTCTTAGTACTAATGGCACCATAATTACCTTTACTGTCTTTCAGTGAGTTTAAAGAGGTATCTCTGGATTCTTTTTCAAACATACTAAATATATAGTAATACAAGGTTGTAGTTATTACATTATTATTATGTTTTGCAAGATGCAAGAAACTAACTCTGTCCCTACTACTACCTGTAACTGACTTGCAAGATTGAAAAAGCCCATTCAATTAATTTTTTTTTGTAATTACTCAGACGATTTTCTGTTTGATCTTCCAAATTTTTCATCTGATTTTCATAATCTTCTAAGAGCTCAAGCTGGTTTAAGCCATCTTTGGCAAGGAGTGTTAACTCATATATGCTCAAATTAGGCACACTTAAACCATAGCAATTCCCATTCAACATCAGTTTACAAAATTTTTGAAATTCACATAAAGAGTTAAATCTATCAACCGTTTCTGACGTAATTGTAGACTTATTAATGTTTTGCATAATAGCCAAGGATTGTAGAGTAGTTGATTCTATGATGAAAGGTTTTGATGATGGATCTTCATTACATATGGCCAGATCTGGTACCTTGATCTGATAATAATAAGTAATAAGTAAATAGTCAGAAGCTCAGTAACCAAACAGCATATTTTAATATGTTTATTACCTACCTCAATTTCATTTTTTTCAACTGAGACGCCTTTTTCTTGTTTTTGGTCTGTTTCAACTTTAATGTTAACAATCCTGTTTGCACTTGTATTTACGGAAAAGGAAAAATTTCTTAAATCTCCTTCACTCATTAAGCAGATTTGATGGTCCGTCAATCGTGTAAGAAATCTTATAAAAAACAACATCAGTGAAAGTTTGTGTATATTGAATAACAAAGAATAAATTGATATTTACCGGTGAAGATTTGTTGCGTTTGCCGGTATTTCTTTTTCATCATAAAATTGCTTTTCCAGCCACAAGATTATAAGGCCAAACTTTGTACTGACTGCTACTGCAGTCTCCTGCGACTGCTGGAGATTCATATCCGACTCAATAATTAACAAATAAAGTCCGGTAGCCAGTGTTTGTTCGCCTTTAATAAATTTCTCGTAGCTGCATAGTAGTATATTATTATGTTAATTATTCAAATAGTAGACCAGCAACATTTGTACTTTACCTATCTTTGTCAATGACATTGTTTTGAAGCAGCAGTTTAGAAATGGTCTCACAATTTCCGTAACAACCAACTAGTTGAATATCGACGTCTTCCAATTGTTTAAATTGTATATCAGAGACCGAACGATAACTTCCAGGAGCCAATATATTGCAGACTTTTTCCAGTTCTTCTGGATGAATAATGGCCTTGCACACTAGAGAATCACCCCGTCCTAGAGATAAAAAAAGGATTAAAAGACTAGGTAAACGACTTGCGGCCATATATTTCGGCAACAATTATTAGCTTTATGGACACAATTTTTATTTATCTTTCACTAATGATGCAAGATAAACGTACTCGTACCGGTAGTGCTTTCGTCCAAACACAATCCAACAAGTTGATATAAATTCGGAATGGTTCGGTAGATATTGTTGACTTCCGCAAGTTGAACATTATGGCTTTCGTCATGAATATTATCGTCTTCTTTTGCAGAAACAAATCCGCTGGAATGCTGATCGTCCGCACCCTGATCATTGAGAATTGCAGGGTACGCTGTTTTCTGACTTGGACGTTGATGTGGTGACTTTCGTTTCCTAAACAGTAGTTGATTATTATCGGTCAGTTTGCATATATACCGCATTTATGAATAAACGTTGCATAAAAGCTATTAGCAAACTTGCCGTGTCTGTTGCCTTTTTTTTCCCATGTTTGCAAGTGAATAATATCGACAATTCTAACGCTTATATACGCTATACGTGGCATTCATTGAAATGTATGGTATGATCTACAATGATCAAAATAGCAACGGCTAAGCCATTGTACTATGTCATTAAAGTTTAAGACTTATGTACTATGCCAATTTGTTTGCCATTATTGAGCCAATAGAAACCTACTATAAATGTTGTGAAACTAGTTAATGGCGAGGGCAAAGTGTACATCATCTGTGGTACTGCATATGAAAACAAATGTACCAAAGCCCTTTTTGCCGCACGAATAATAATGAGTAGAATGCCAATAGGTCACGGTTTTACAATAGATAATCAAGTATATTAACTTTACGACTATTATATCTAAGACATACAGTATAAACGTATATGGTACGGACATCTCTAATATACTATTAAGTTACAAACTAAGGAATGTTGCGAATTTGTGATTGTTTTTGCCTCTAATGTAGAAATTATGCAATAGAGCAAATATTATACACTTACTTATTTCGATTCTAGCTAAACGTAAGCGTCTTGTACATTAGTTCAATTTTTATCTACCTTTACCAGACTTCTTTTTCTCTTTGCCTTTTTTCTTTCATCTACTGTAACTATTCTTTTCTGTCTGGCACTAAAACTAATCCTCAGATGCAACATTTCTGTCTACAGTCTGATTTTTCTAATTTCGGTCACTTGTTCAACACTTACAATGCACAGTAACAGAATTCAGTTTTATTAAAACAACAAAATCTGACAATAATTCTACTTTAATTACCAAGCGGAACGATTAAATTTTGCGTGCGCTAAGAAGTTTAGCTCATTTTTAATATGGATTTAATTGCTAGCATTATTAACCGCTGTCACATTCTTTGTGTTATTGTGTGCAAGTTAGTGGTGCATTAACATTCCAGAAATTAATGACGTCAAACGTCAACCGGATGGCGTGATATATTTAAGAACTTTTAACCTGGTTATCTCACTTTGACATCGAAGAAGTAACTCAATATCCACATACATTGTCATTGTCACCAACCTCTGAATACGGCTATGTCTCCCCTGACGGCCCACGTTTAGGCGATTGGAAATTTCTCTTACGAGATATTCGACCATGTCAATATATTGAGGGTTAATTCCGAATAATTTACTAAACCGGTAGCTAGCTCCGATGTCATTTAGGGATATAGTCGGCCTATAACAATGTTATGACTTATGAGTTACTTGTATTCTGTTGCAACAGGGTTTACGCTCAACACCTAGCGAAGAATTGAGACCTTAACCGCTAAACTAAGAAAGAGTATAAAGGGTTCGACATTATGCCAAGCAAAATGTTAATAACTCTACTTCCCTAAAATACGTAGAAGTCGGCTAATATGTGGTCATCGTGTCATATGGTAGCTGCTAATAACAATTATGACTCGTATAGTTGTTAATCACACAGGCTTAATAATCCCAAAAGGAAGTTGTGCACCTTGCATGAGTAATAAACTCTATACTGTAGTCAGCTGTCGGGAACAATGCAACTTTTGTTGGAAGTGTGCTTACAAAGAGGTTTTTTATATGATGCGCTTATAGAGGTGACTGTAGAGGGGACGATTATCTCGGCGATTTTAATGTTTGAATTATATTTTATTCTAGTATTGGGCACCTGTGAATCTGTAACACTTCCTTCGTGTGCAAGTTAACCAGTCCAGTCATAAATGCGGAATAATAGCTTGATGGATGTCATTGAATTGAACATTGAAGCGTGTTATCTTCTTTTACAAAAAGCATTGGATTGTTGACCGGTTTATACTCCAATTATTCAGGCACTGATTTGTCTGTTTTAGACTCTTTCATGACTTGCAAGTAAGTCACTAGAATATTGACTCACACATTATATAAGGTGCGTGCGTGTGACATTCATTGACAGATATGTAGCTGATCTATGAAAGTGAAACCTCTTTATACCGTCCCCCGGATATACCGGTTTTTGCTATAACGGCCCAAATTTTCAAGAACAAATTTTCACATATGAAGTTCTCCTTATATACCGGCCATCATTGGTTATATTGTCTATACCGGCTCCGGTCGAAATTTTGCTGGACGAAATTCGTCATACTATTACAAAATATATATAATTTTCCTTTTTATATCGGTCGATCATGTAACACAATAAATAGACCTTCTATGTATTTTTTTTTACTTTCTTCTATTACCATGGCACGTAAAAAACGTTCTTTCCAATCAATGAATAAAACGAATAAAAAAGAATCCAAAGTTTCACTCACTGCTTTACAGAAAAAAAATTTTTTTTGAAATCCTTATTGTTCTCATAATCGAATTGCGACATTGATAGTGCGGTCATTTTGAATTAAGCAGAGTGGAAAGCAAGCCGGTTTGTGACGAAGTTAGATTGAATAAAACAAGCAGTTATTAAATAATGAATTGCCCTTATATGTACTCTTGTATCACTTGCTTTTTATTCCTTCTACCGGCCAAAAATTCCCATGGACAGTTAGCAAATTTGGGAAATGAGGTTATAGTTACTATTACCGCAATTTCCTAAATTACAGATCAACAGTAGACCAATGTAGATCAATGTACGAAAAAAATAGTATTTATAGAAAAGGGATATTATCAGACAAAAGCTGTCCGACTAACGCTACAGACTTTATCGCTATGCGACTTGTTTTTCCTTCTATATTAAAGTACTGTACAGTATAATATTTATCATACAAACAACATTTGTAATAACTTATTTTGACAACAAGCTCAACAGCTCGCAGTAACCGTTGCGTTGTTGCATTCGCTAAATGCACTTGCATCATATTCGAGCCAAATTTCTCTCAGGCGTGAGCTCTTGGTAAGCATTACGATTACAATTAACATTCGATTCTAGTTCCGATGTAAAGTTCCGATGCAATCTGTCCAATTTGAAATAGGCACATTGTCTAACATAAGCGAGCGACATCTTAATCGAACGCGACCCGATTACGAATCTGCACAATATACTTACAAGAAGATTGGATGAAATACATATACAAACATAACTTCTAGTAAAAAATATAAGCATCGTATTATTTAACAGAAAACATCGTCTGCCCTAAAATATAATTTGGGCATCAGACGGTTAGTTGTTAACATTATTTGCCATTCAAACATACTCCCGTTAGCAGGCCTGAGATTATAAATGACGAACATACAAAACGTCGTATTTAAACCCGTCACCATCTAATTACCGGATTTATATATAGATAAATAAATAGGATAGCCAGTTACTTGTCAGTACTGTTTCATACCATACAGTATATAAGATAAAAAGTACAAGTTGAACGTAATATATACTATAATGAGCAAATAGTCAGCAGTTGCTTGACGGACAAAGGCGTTGATAACAATAACTATATAGTATATCAGTTTCTCCCTACTCAATCCTATTTCGAGAAACTATCGCTTTCTAATCAACGTAGGTTGATGTTCTCTTATGCTTCTTGCAATCTCTACAAAATAGCTTTTCAATTCACTTGTTGTAGGCGTAGCCTTGAACTGACATCTAAGCCCTGTACTTGTACTGTCTACGTACTCGGATGCAATACGAGCCATTTCTTCGAGTATTTTCAAACCACCTACATGTAATCAAGCAAACTTAGTGTCGAATCTCTAATGCTATAATAAATGCATTGTCATAATACCTGATTCTGTTGAGAAGGCAGCAGTATACAAATAAACAGGACAACTAATACAAATAGAATAGTCATTACTAATTCATTGACCAAAACAACTATAGTTAACTTAATTATGTTACTTACTCATTGTCTCTATTACTTTCACACACTTTTCTAAGTTCCTGCTCAGGTATTTTATCTTCACCATCTGATAGAAAGATGATCACATTTTTCCTTTAAATAGTAAATTGATTAGTTTCTCACAGTCAGACTAGTTTTTCAGACAAAAGCAGAAAAAGTTACCTCGAATCCCTTTGGTGCTTTTGAATAAGACCGCCTGCAGCTACAATTGCTTTACTAAATTGTGTTAAACCGCCAGCGTGTTGTTTACAAAGAGTCTCCATTAATTCATCATTGTCTACAAACTTCTGTTTCTCCATAACTATGTGCACATCAGTATCAAAGAGTATGAAAGACATTATATCATGTTTCTCATGGGCAGACCCATCTGGTCCACATCTAGTACGGATAAATTGCTCTATGCATTCGTAAACAGCACCAAGTCGGTTATCATGGCTTTGAATAATCTTTTTAGATCCCTCTTGATCAAGCGGCTTTATGTCATCCCAGCCCATCGATCCAGATTTGTCAATAACGAAAACAATATGATACGATCCATAGTGAGCACAATCAAATTGATGTCCATCACTGGAAATATGCCCACTAGTCACCGGTGTATTTGGATCAACTTTATCGTGAAATAATTTCAGCATGCAATAACTTGCCCCTGAACTGTCGCGGTTCTTATTCTTGTGTATATGATGACTGCATTGATGCAAACATTTCTCAAATATTTCTCGCTCATCAGCTAAATAAGGATCTGTTAAAATATTAAAAATTAGCCCAGCGTATCAATTTGCCAAACAACCAGTATGTTTAAATTCAACATTACCAACAAAACCAGAGCGCTTCCAGTATAAAGAGTGTGATATATAATCCTTAGCCCTATCCGGATCCGGATCCATTTTACCTACAATGTATATGTTTTACGTGATAAACGGTAATGAATACTAGCAGCTACAAGCCATATTTTACTTACACTTTATATGTTCCACCCCAAGCTTTCGAAGGGCTTCGGGGGAATTCTCACATGCGCTGACATTTTTGCAATAATCAACATGGAGATGTCGCATAGCAGATTTACATAACTATTAATTGCAATTAGCATTAGTTTAATTTAGATTAGCATGATTCATTACCAACACACTCTTACCATGTGACAATAAACGTAACTTCCAGAGTCACCTCCTGTAAATGTCTGGTTTTCGTATTGGAAAGTGGGAGAAATTCCAACCCAAGCCATAGGCTTCATGCTTCCATGTGCCGTGTCATGTAAGCCTTTATGCTCATAACTCTTGACACACTGAAATATTCTGTTAATATGCATGATCCATTCCATTTAACAACCCTGGGCTACACTTACGTAATATTCGCAATATGGACATTGAATATCGCATTTATGATCAGTGTTGCATTTGTGGGGGCCCTTGTGTGTAAGTTGGTTTGGCGGAATTTCAACTTCACATTTGCGTCTTATCGTTTCTTGGGAACGCTTCATGAAACATGTATAAGTAATTATAATTTTACGTAACAACTCTAAAGCAAAAAATATTTTACCTCTTCATAATCAAATGTATTGAACTCGTTACTATATGTCTTCGTCTTTATAATGGGATTAATTTCGCAAATGCCAAGTTTTCCACACATTTGATTACAACCATGTACCTGTCTATTAGTTTCAAAATCATTTTTTAGCTTTTTTAACCTTTCAATTGATATATGATAATGAATGTCAACTGAGGTTACAACCCACCCGCAAAAATGATTCTCCACACCATGCTGAAGTGCATGAAGATGATCATTACTTTGGCAAGTCTTTTTACACCCATCAATGCAGCAACCAATTGGGCACCCTTTACTATTATTGTCACATCTGTGTTCATTAAAATGTTCCTTCCCAACAGGGATTGTACAAACACCTGTACATTTATATAAATCAGATTTTGATAAGGAGCAGGGTTCTCCGCAATAATGCTCACTCGCATCGCAAAGATGTTCGCCTTCATGATCAACTTCTTTTGAACATTTAGAAAGACACCCATTTCTACCGTTGTATTTGCATTTATATTTATCCGCACATGCGTGTCGCATTTCGCATCTATGTCTATTTCTGTGTCCGGCTGGACAGTCGCATATTGGAAGTTCTTTCTCATCAGGATGAGCTTCCTTAATCTCGCAACGAAAGTGGCACTTGTGATCGGTCTTGCAATCATGTCCTTCGGACTCTTCATGTTGATTCTTCAGGCAGGGTAAACTACACTGATCATTGTTACACGATTTTTTGCATAACGTCCAATCCTGTTTGTTTCGATCACTTTGTTCACAACATTCGCTCATCACCTTCACGACGTCTGGATGTTCTAGTGGAACTCGTTGGAAGTTTGCCTCAAGCCAAACTTTAGTGCGTTCTTCACGGCGATTTATAATTTCACTGATAAATCTATCGTATTGCTCAACCCATTTCACATCATTAGGCGCAAGTGACCGTTGACCATAGTATTTTTCGAAAAAATCTAGCAGAATTTTGACGGTGTTGATGAATCCTTCCCCACTAAGTACAAGTCCAACATCCGATAGTGGTTCAAATGAATGATTTGACTCCCTGAACTCATCGAACATTGGTATCTCTATATCCTCTATGAATGAGCCAGTGTTATGGTCCTACATTTGTAATTACATTTAATTATATAATCGCTAAAATGTTCGACTGTCAAAACAATGAATGGTAAAATTACCATAAGAGGTGGCACATCAATTTGATCTTTTTGATGACCATTTTGTGAAGGTTCAATAGGCTCATGGCCACATGCCATGACACTTGGCAGTGCCTTCTTCACTTCATCTATGACACTCCGGATCATACTCTCATTAAGCGATGACCAGTCTGCTACCTATAAAGGCAAATCTTATCAATACATAATGCCTTTTTGACGCAAAAAAATTTCCGATACACTGTACTTTGGTAAATCTGAGTAACCCAATGCTTACTGCTAACTTAGCCATAACCATTTTAAGTTTTCTCAAAAAATCGTTTGTCGTGTTATATTTTTCAGGTGTTTCAGTATCCAATTTAGTTTTGAGCGAATTAAATGTTTCATAAAACTCTAGAAAAATCCAACTATTAATGATCATATTAAGTATCCATATTAACAGACAGGTAGCAAAATTGTTCATTCACACCTGGATCTTTAAAAACAGGCCAGGGTATAATGCTCATAACGTCACCAAATAATCTTGAGATAAAATTGGTTTCTTTGTCCTAAAGTTTTGAAGTCATTTTCAATCAAATTCAGTTGACAAATCACTACTATATACACTTATACTTACAGTCTCAACAATTAGTTTGATCTTTTGAACAAATTCATCTTGAATTGCTTCCACATCATTTTCTGGCACATCTTTGATGATGATACAGAACAGTGTCTGCATAAAAATGTATTTTAGCTTTAATCCGACCAAAACTTCAGAACATATACATACTTGAAAAATCTCTTTTTCTTCATTTTTGCCACCAAAATAGTTTTCCCCTATTTGAAATCTTTTGAACATATCGGTTGTATTTCGACTGATAGCAAAAGGACATTTGAACAATATCATAGTGGATACACTAAATATTACAAGTAAATAGTAAGCATAAGTTCAGTTTGCTGAAAAACACATGCTGACATTTTATACCTTGCATTAAGAAGAGTCAAATGAAGGTCGTCCTGTGGAGTTCTCTCAATTGAGTTAAGCCCTATATTGCGCTAAACGTCAAAGCTTGCTTGTGTTGTATTTGACATAATTCAACAAAGTTACCTTCAAAATCCAACGCAACATAAACCGTGTCTTCCACATATGCTATTCAACCAAAAATTTCTTATCAGTTCAAAAATTTAAAAAGCTTAAATGTAGCAGTAAAACCTACCTAAAGACAACCATATTCCTTCAGTGCAGCGCTACAATGAAAAAAATGGGTTATGATTCGTTGTTATTCATTGCATGCATGGGATAAAAGAATCACTTACCTTAGCAGAGCCATCAAAGCTCGTGCCAATAAAATGGTTTAAGAGATATGATTTGCCACAAGACTGTTCACCCATACTAGAAACTACCCTCACTGGTTTATCACGAAGATATTTGAAAATTGCCTCATACCAATCAAATGAGATTGATTGACTAACATCTTGTGTACTTGTCCCATTTTCAATTTGAATAGGCTGCGCTGATTGCAAACCATTACGTAAAATAATAAATCTATCTTTTTTAGCCACAGCAATTTGGATTGGTATGAGTGTACATAGTCGAATAATCCAGCTGTTATATATATATGTAAGATTCGAGTGTTAGAAAGGAACAAAAGATTAGAATTACTGCAATGAACCTAACTCACTTGTCGGCTTTGTAGCTTGAAAGTTCCAAGGCATTTTTATGAAACAAAATGTCACCAAGTTTCTTAACGTGAGTAAAGTAATTTGCTAATGGCGTAATATCTTTTTTTGTTGCTTCACGAAGGCGTTTCAAGCTATCTTTCATATATTTGTCAAAGTGCTGTTGAAGTTTTTGTAAATCTTTTGGAATAATCTCTGGAAAATTCTCTGGAAAATTATCCGGTAGGTCCATTACTATGGTAAGTTTCATTGAGGTTTTCCCATCTTGTATGCATGGTTTTATAGGATACTTGGTAAAAAGGTGCGAATAGACGTCGATATAACCGTTTGATCTCAGCTGTTCGTTTTTAACTTGCTCCCCAGTTTTTTTGTTAACACTGTATTGACTCTGATCGCTTGCGATATTTACTTTTACCAAAACTAGTGCGTTATGTGCCAAGTCAAGCGTGATTAAATGTTGGGTTTGCTCAAGATATGTGAATCGACAATGAATTAAAGAATGTGAAGGTAAGGAGATTCCAGTCTGCAATGGTTCGTACTGTTTATCTTGAGTTACAAAATATACAAGCGCCTGTACTGTATTTTCATCTGTTTTTGCAGGAACTGCTGGGTGTTTGTTTTCAATTCCTTCTAAACCCTCTCCAGTATTAACTGAGTGGTTGCCTCCTTCAATCTTGCTACCTGTCGGATTTGTAGTCTTTGGCTCGAGTACAAATATACAAGAAGGGTTTGATGAGCTTAGGACAGAGGCTGCATCCTTGGAAAATTTTTCAAAATTTTTTAAATAGCCATCGTTGTAATCGAACGTATAAGCTTCCCCGTCTTCTTTAACAAAGAGCATTGAAGATTCACTGATCCACAAGAGGTGTTTAAGTGTTGATAACTGAGATGTCTGTACGAGATTTGAATGTAGCGGACGCATGTTTTTCTCAACATTGTCAATATTGTAAATATTAAGCTGCAATTATTGTAAATGATCGTTTAGTATTGATGTGCATAAATACAATGTTAATTCATTTGTTACTCACAACATGTTCATCGTTATTGTACGTTGCCATAAGACCCGTTGAGTAATTTACTGTAATCAGCGAATTCTTGGGTTCGTTCATGAGTCTGATCCGAGACGGCTTTGAATCCCGTTTGAATTTTTCCTTTAGTTCAGGAAGCGTTCCATAAAAGATAGCATAATCATTTTTTTCGGTGTCCCACAAAATTAGAACGAATTTTCCATCATCAAGTTGGCAAATTTTCCTAAACCAATTTTATCAGTAACAAATAAAGATTAAAAAGTCGCATACATAGAAACGGCGATATCTTACCTGATTTCAAATCTCGCATTTATATACAAGATTTTTCGACATGCATTCAATAAATTCGTGTTTGTGTAATTGACATTTGCTTTTCTGATATAACTGCTTGGCAATTCCAATATCCTTAGTTCACAAAGGGGGGGTTTGACTACTTCAATGACATACTGAAACTCATATTGATCAGATCCTTGATGATGTTGCAATTTTTTGACAAACATTTTCTCTCTAAAGTGATCAAGTAATAAGTTAGCCCAATGTATAATAGTAAGAATAATTATAAATATACTCACCCAATGGAATATGTTGATTCAAGTTTTTTCTTTAATGTTTCAGCTTCTACTTTATCAATATTACTTGCTTTTTCCTTATACTTGAAAAAATTTTCATCTTTGGTCATGTTTTGAACATGTGGTTCCCAACATTCCTCCAGTTTTTTGTTAATATTCTCGTCATTCTTCCAACATTGATACTCTTCTTGAAGTTTTGGAATGACATTTTTACTTGCACTGTGCACTAGTATATCAGCAATAAATTCGGTATCTGATATTTTGTCAATCTCTTTTCCGGACTTAGCTGATGAAGTCCATCTGCAATTTACACAAACTATGTCAGAAAAGCATATGTGCACAGAGTTTTTACACAGCAATATATATCCAATTCTCTAGATTAATGTGGTATTCCTTAACATAACTTTGGAATAATAATAACTACTTACCTCTGCCACGCTGTTTTTTTTGTTTTATTGTAAAAATCACACTTCAATGACTTCCAACCCTCGCTATCAATTTGTAAAATACTAGCCTTTATGTCTTCACAAACTTTTGCATGTCCAGCATAAACCTTTTTCAGTTCTTTATCAAATTGATGCATCAAGTTAGAAAAAATTTAAAAGCTACTCTCCAAAGATTATTATTATAATTACCAGAGTTGTCCTCTACTGAAAATGAGCTGACATTTAGAGACTTTTTTTCAAATAGTCTAAAAATTAAAATTTTTAGAAATTATATCAAATTTTACTTGAACTTAAACTTTGATGCATACCTTTCATAATTTTCCAGAAGTAAAAGAGCCCATTGATTTACTACGTTTTTGTATTCATCAATTTTCTCATTTCTTTGTTTTCTCAAGTCTGATATTTTGTTCTTATATTCAACTAAAAAATCAGGTTTAGCTAAACCCTTTTCAATCAAAAGAACTAGTTCATTTGCACTCAAATCACTTAAACTCAAAGCATAACGTTTTTCATCCAACTTCTTTTTCAAAAACTTTTGGAATTCATCCAAAGAGCTAAATTTCATTGTTTCTTCCAGAGTTGTGGATTCACTAATGTTTTGCGTAATAGCCAAGGATTGTAGAGCATTCGATTCTATGATAAAAGCTTTTGATGGATCTCCATTACATATGGCCAGATCTGATACCTTGATCTGAAAAGTAACAAGCAAATGGTCAGAACTCAGTAATCAAACGGCATACTGTAATAAATTTGTTACCTTAAATTTATCGCCAACTGAAACACCTTTTTCTTGTTTTTGGTCTGTTTTAACTTTAATGTTAATAATCCTGTTTGGACTTGCTGTATTTACGGAAAAGGAAAAATTTCTTAAATCTTCTTCACTCATTAAACAGATTTGATGGTCCGTCAATCGTGTAAGAAATCTTATAAAAAGCAACATTAGTGAAAATTTGTACGCATTGATAACGAAAAGAATAATAATAGATTGACATTTACCGGTGAAGGTTTGTTGCGCTTGTCAATATTTCTTTTTCATCGTAAAACTGCTTTTCCAGCCACAAGATTACAAAACCAAACTTTGTACTGACTCCCACTGTAGTTTTCTGCGACTGCTGGAAATTCATATTCGACTCAATAATTAACAAATAAAGCCCGGTAGCCAATGTTTGTTCGCCTTTAATAAATTTCTCGTATCTGCATAGTGGAGCGTTATTGTATTTATTATCTAAGTTCTTAAACAACAACTTTTGTACTTACCTATCTTTGTCGATGACATTGTTTTGAAGCAACAGTTTAGAAATGGTCTCACGATTTCCGTAACAACCAACTAGTTGAACATTGACGTCTGCCAACTGTTTAAATTGTATATCAGAGACCGATCGACAACTTCCAGGAGCCAACTTGTTACAGACTTTTTCCAGTTCTTCTGGATAAATAATGGCCTTGTTCACTAGAGAATCACTCCGCCCTAGATATACAAGACTAGTCAAACGATATATTTCGGTAATAATTATTGGCTTTTACGGCACAATTTTTGTTTAGCTTTTACTAATGCAAGATAAACGCACCGGTAGTGCTTTCGTCCAAACACAATTGAACAAGTTGATATAAATTCGGAATTGTTTGATGGATATTATTGACTTCCGCAAGTTGTTCAGTAGAGTTTTTGTCATTTATATTACAATTATTATCGTCTTCCTTTGCAGAAATAATTCCGTCGCCGGAATGCTGACCGTCCGCGCTCTGATCATTGGTAATTGGCTCGGGTGGTACCTGTTTTTGTGTAGAGTCTTCAGTTTCAGGTTGTGTGTTAATCTTGAGTATGCTGTTTTCTGACTTGGACGTTTCTGAGTAATTCTCGGTAACAGATGAAGAAGTTTTGTTTCCTAAATGTAGGTAACAATTATCGGTCAGTAATTATAATTATGAAATAAGCGTTGCATAAAAGCTATTAAAAACTTGCCGTGTCCGATAACGTCCGCACTCTGATCATTGCTAATTGGCTCGGGTGATACCTGTTTTTGTGTAGAGTCTTCAGTTTCAGGTTGTGTGTTAATCTCATGTATGCTGTTTTCTGACTTGGACATTTCTGAATAATTCTCGGTAACAGGTGAAGAAGTTTCGTTTCCTAAATGTAGGTAACAATTATAGGTCAGTAATTATATATTTATGAAATAAGCGTTGCATAGAGCTATTAGAAAACTTGCCGTGTCCGATTTCCGCACTCTGATCATTGGTATTTGGCTCGGAAAACTGCAATGGCCCCTGTTTTTGTGCAGGGTCTTCAGTTTCAGGTTGTGTGTTAATCTCACGTTTGCTGTTTTCCGACTCGGACGTTTCTGAGTAAATTTCGGCAGCGTGTACGTGTGAAGAAGCTTTGTTTTCTAAACAGTAGGTAACTATTGTCAGCGTATATATTGCACTTATGAAACAAGCGTTGTGTAAGAGCTATTAGAAAACTTGCCGTGTCTGTTAGCCTCTTCTTCCATGTTTGCAAGTTGAATATTTTATTGACGACCGGCTCTAACAGCTTATAAATCTTCTAGTGGCATTCATTGAAAGATATGGCATGATCTACAATCACCAAAAATAGCAACTCTAAGCCATTGTATTATGTCATTAAAGTTTTAAGACTTATGTACTATGCGCCATTCATGAGCCAATAGAAAGCTATAATAATGTCGTGAAACTAATGGCAACAAAGAAATCGTTTGTATATCCGTATTTAACTATCGCAATAATGCAAGAATCATATCGTCTTATTTTGGTGTGGTACTTACTGCACAAATGACAACAAACGTCGTCCGTCCGTCACACAAGTTTTTCTCATCATTGTGCCAAAGTTCTTTTTATTGTTGCACGAATAATAGTAAGAGCAAACTATAATTTAAGAAGCTTCACATGACGATTAATATACGCAATCCGGTAAATTTAGAAATAAATTTGTGATTGGATATTATCAAGTCAAACATATATTCCTTGATAGTCTTCATTTAATTGGCAAATTGTGCTGAAACGAGATTTAAGCAATGGTATGCATTGTACATGCGAAGACAATTGTCAAGTGGTCCAGCATGCCGGAGTAGAGATGAAATAGAATAGTTTACAATAGGTGGTATTCACTAAATAAGACGCATTTCCAGTAATATATATATATATTTCGTAGGGTGTCCTTAACTTACACCAGGGGGTGTAAGTTAAATTGGTACACCCCCACGTACGGTTAATGTAATATTGAAGACTAATATCCAGGTCAACGGTATATTATATTTCACTAGTTAGAGCATCATATAGTTAAATCAGGGAGA